ATTTCTGGCAGATATCTACATTAGACTGGAAATTATGCTCTGAAAATGCCTATTTTCTTAACCAACTGTGGAGGGAGTCCATACTAAAAAGTCCTAATCCAGTAGCTGGAATTCTCTATTACCGTGTACCTCAGTACATGCCAGTGTTGAGAGTGGGATCTGCTGAAGTATCTTGCAGGTATGCTTCTCCTTTCCATGGTGACCTGGGGTGGCAATATGGAGGCCATGTTTTTTGCCCTAGTGTGAAACTGTCATGCTGCTAGGACCTACACCCACACTGATGATCCAAATAGTGCTGCTGGGTCTGCTAACAGTTGCAAAACCTTAGACTGGTTCTTAGTTGATGATGGATAAAATTAGATACAATGAATCCTTTCCTCCTCCCATCCCCAGTAGTATTAGTGGCCTTGGCTTTTCCGTTGATGAATTTCTGTAACTAGTCACTCAGGCTTTACTGTTTACAGACAGCTGCCCCACAGAAGCATCCTGCATTGCTTTCCCAACAACCTAGACTGATACATTGATGTGATTTGGGGATGGGAGATAAAAGCAGGAGGAAAAGACAGGAAAACTTTCCTAGTGTAAAATATATAGTTTTGACTAAAAGAAGTTCACAGAAGGGTCACTATCTATATGAAGGTAAACTTTTTTAGTCCTGGTATTTCACCTCCCCTCTGACCACTATTAATACACATAAAAGTCCATAAAGTTTTAATTTCTGACTATTACAACAACATCAACAATCATATGTACAACATGTTTGGCTTGGGAAATCTGTTTTCAGTGTGCTATAACATGCTGTTTGTTATAAGTGAAGTCCGACATTGCACGCTCCTGTTATGAGTCCACAATGTGTCCACGTGCTGCAGTTAGCAAAACAAAAATAGCTGGAAAGAGCTAATTGCCAGTTTACTATAACAGGTATTTTTCTTTGGAGAGTGAAAATCACTATTTGCAATTAATTCAGAAATTATCAAAGCTTTAATTTCTCTGTTGGCATCTACGCTTTTACACAACTAACTTTGTTGGTGAAAAGACTTTATGGTCTGTAATCATTTGCACAAAGGGAACCTCTAATTCTCTAGTGGTAAATAAACTGGTGCTGTATTACAAAATAAATTTTTAATGGAAACTTAGAACTTATGAGTTGTCCTCATATCAACAGGGCAAGAATTCATTACAGCATAACACTTTTGAGGTGGGTAGTCAGTCTTCATCGTTACTGTTGTGTTACTTAGAAGCATCTAAATGAGCATAGTTTATGCACTGCAAGTAGGGACACAAGCCTTGTTACAGATTTTTAAACCATAATTTTTCTTTTAATATCATGTCAAAATGCCAAAGCGCAGAGGATGTTTATACAGTCACTATCTTTCTTTAGCATTAATAAGAACATTAAGAATTCAATTTACCTTCTGCACAGATTCCTGCATAGAGACGTGCAATGAAACGTGATCTGTCTTTCAGCAGAAAGAGCAGTGTTGAAAGAGCAGTATTTCCTGCTTAGATTAATCTTCAAGAGGCTGATAATGCAAACTTGAAAAAAGACCACTTAGTCTTTATTGAGCAGAGGCTAAAACATCAAATGGGAGGAGGTGTATGTTAATCCAGATTTACAAGGGGGAATTGCCATTGAATGAAACGTGCAGCCTTCCAATGAACAATTTTTCTTGGATGCTAGCCATCCTTCTAGATACTGAAGATACCATGATAATGAATAGGATAAGAAGTATGATTGGAACTATTTATCAATATATTTTATAGACCAAAATCTCCTTTGTGAGTGTGTGATTCATAGAGCCTAACTTCAAACCCCAGCATTATGGTTACATTCAGATATCTACAAATTGGGTGTCAGAGCTAATAATCCAGATTTACTTAATACTCAGTGGAGAGAAACGAGTAATTCAGATCTCCAAATGAGTATCTGAAGTCTGGAGGTGCCTAATTCTGTTCATTGGTTAGTAAAGGAATGAGGTGATAGCTCAAATTTTGATAGCAACATTAGAAACATGAAAAGCTAGAGGAAATAAATCACACTTCATATTAATCTGGTTTGATATGGCCCAGTGGTGCAAATTTTAGCTGATATATCTTCCTTTTCTTTACCCTGATAGCCAAGCTCAGGAATTCCTTCATTTCTCAATATACAACAACTGAAGACCCATGACTATGCCATTTGTTCATCTTACTATGTGCAAACAGGACTAGTAATCAGGAGTATAACAGATACATAATACCATTCATACCCCTAAGACTTTGCTGGAAAGGAGATGATGACCCTTGGTTGGTCTTCACACCCAGCAAGTAAAGGAAGTTCAAATTGTACTGCCAAGTACATTTTTAGAAGATATTGAAGCAGGCATTGAGTTCAATGAGACAAGCAACACATCACTCTTCACAGGCAGCCACTGTGTGGTAATCAAAATGATGCTTTCTTTTCTTTGGCAACTAATTAAGACAAAGATCTGTCCTTCCTGTTACTGTTGGAAGACGACCTTTCCTTGCTCATACAACAGCTGAGTCTGAAGAGCAGGCAGACCAATTCCACCTGAAGACAGGCAACCACTGTAATAAAGCTCTTAGTAACCACCTCGAGCATTAGGAACGCAACGCAGCAGGCTGAGCCCTTCTGCTGGGGGATGGAATAATACTGCTGTTTTTAGAAACAGGACTCTGGCAGGTCTCCCAGGAGGTTCTGACAGCCAACATCACTCATCCTCCTTTGCCACCTGAAAGTGGTATTAGCCATGAGGGAAAAAGTGATCGCACAGACTTAAACTTACCTAGACATTGCAGTGACACAGAAATTGAGGATAAATAAAACCTAACAGTAAGCAAACACCTGTTTTTAGAGAACCAAGGAAATCCTAAATCTGACACCAAATGACCATGACAAATGTTGTAAAACGTATTTATTCATTTTGCCTATTGTATCCAGATGGCTAATAGGAAAAGGGACTCCACTTAAACACACAAAACCTGAAACTGGAGTAGCTGTACACCCTGTACTTTACAGGAGTTATCTGATAATTAACATCACAGAGGGAGAAATGGCACATTCAACAGCACAGCATCTAAGGATTGTTGGGAGGAGTAGCCTGTGGGAAGTCAGTGGGCTTTTAAAACACCTGCATGAGCCTGTCATCTTCACTCTTACAAGTGTGACCAAAACCTTCTGAGTTATGAAGTCTTTTACAGGTTGATTATTTGTATCTTTCCC